GACCCATATACCCTATTAAAATTTTTCATTAGCATTGAGTTTTTATTAAAATACTATCTAAAAACAAATTTAAGTTTTGACTTACTCAAACACAAACTCAAAAAAGATTCTTATCTCAAACCATAACTCAAATGTACACAACCAAACACAAACTCAAGTTACAACTTCAACTCAAGTTATAACTCAAACTCAAGTCAAAATCTACACTCAAGTTACCTAACTCAAAAACATCAAAAGAACAAGCCCCTAGTTACTTGGAGAAGTAAGAAACAAACAGTGGTTTCGAGAAGCAGTGCAGAAACTGAATTCAGAGCTATGGCACATGGAATTTGCGAAGGAATGTAGCTTAAGAGGCTCTTAAAGGAACTCAGAATCCAATATGAAGAACCTCTACAAATGTTCTGTGACAATCAAGCTACAATATGCATTGCCAAGAACCCAGTTCTTCATGACAGGACCAAGCATGTGGAAATTGACCGCCATTTCATCAAAGAGAAGATAGAAGATGGAGAAATTTTGCTGCAATACACGCCAACAAAATGCTAGACAGCCGACATTCTAACCAAAGCTCTACCAAGATCAAGCTTTGAGGATTTAAATATCAAAATGGGTATGATTAACATCTACTACCCAGTTTGAGGGGGAGTGTTGAAAATTCGGATTGTACAGCCTTGTTCCAACTGTAACAGGCTGTAAATGTGACAGGCTGTAGATTAGCCTTTAGTTGTCAAACCTTCCTTATTTAGTTAATCTAGGAAATTAGGAAATATATCCTGATATTCCTGATTAGGTTAGGCTAGAAATCAGTAATTTTTTCCTTAGAATAAGGCCGCAGATCAGGCATCCCTCTTGTATATATATTCAGTCCTTGTACCATTCCAAATCAATAAAAAGAATCATATTTTTCATTCAATTCTTTACTTATTGGAAAAAGGAATAGTGCACCAGGGTTCTTGCATAACTACCCCTCAACAAAATGGCATGGCCGAACGGAAAAACCGACATCTTCTTGAAGTTGCTCGTGCTCTCATGTTTACCTCCAATGTTCCAAAACATTTCTGGGGAGATGCAGTACTTACAACAGCATATCTCATCAACAGAATGCCATCTCGGGTACTGAAATTCAAAACTCCATGTCAAACTCTCTCTCAAGCCTATCCTTCAACTCGGTTGATCTCTTCTCTTCCTCTCAAAGTGTTCGGATGCTTAGTGTTTGTCCATATTCCCTCCCATTTGAGAAGCAAACTTGATCCCAAAGTTGTTAAATGTTTATTCCTTGGATACTCATCAAATCAAAAAGGATACAAGTGTTACTCTCTAATCACCAAGAGGATCTACAATTCTATGGATGTTTCTTTCATTGAAGACCAACCATTCTACCCCAAACTCATATTCAGGGGGAGAATTCTGCCACTCAAGAAGAATATAAGTTTTGGTTTGACCTAGATCATCCGACGTCCACTGAACCTCCACAAATAGAGTCAACAGAAACTCCACAAATAGAGTCAACCGAACCTCTACAAACAGTACAGCTCACTCCTCAAACAACTCAACTTGAAAATCCTTCCATCACAGACACTATTCCGATCCACAAAACTGGTACAGATTGCAAACAGATGTACTCAAGAAGGCTGAAGACTAAAAAAGGGGATAGAGCATCTAATTCTTCCCGAGCAAAGCCAGGAACCCGATCTGAGTCCAAGTTCAGAAATCAATTCATCAGGTTACACTGATAATTATTCTGATTCATTATTGAGTAATGATCTTGATGTCCCTATTGCTAATAGGAAAGGTGTGAGAACATGCACACATCACCCTATTTCCTCTTTTGTACTTATGATAGATTATCTCCTAGCCACCAAGTCTTCACCACCAATCTATCAAAAGTTGACATTCCAAATAGCATACAAGAAGCAATTACCCAACCAGAATGGAAGAAAGCTATTGATGAAGAAATCCGTGCCCTAGAAAAAAATTGTACTTGGGGAGTTGACAGATCTTCCAGAAGGCAAGCGTCCAGTAGGGTCCAAATGAATGTTTACTGTCAAGTATAAAGCAGATTGAAGCATTGATCGATACAAAGCCCGGTTAGTAGCAAAGGGATTTACTCAGACATATGGAATTGACTATCAAAAGATGTTTGCCCCGGTGGCTAAACTGAATACAGTTCGAGTCTTGCTGTCTTTGGCAGCAAACTTATATTGGCCTCTTCATCAGTTAGATGTGAAAAATGCTTTCTTGAATGGTGAAGTCTACATGGATATTCCACCAAGCTTTGATACAGAGAATAACGTCGACAAAGTGTGCAAGCTGAAGAAGTCCCTATATGGCCTTAAACAATCACCTAGAGCTTGGTTTGATAGATTCACAAGGGCAGTCAAGAAACATGGATTTTCACAAGGACAGTCCGATCACACGCTATTTTTCAAGCACTCCCCAAGCGGGAAGATCACTATTCTTATAGTTTATGTGGATGACATCATACTTACAGGTGATAATGAGGAAGAAATGGTCTGGTTAAAATCAATCCTTGCAAAGGAGTTTGAAATCAAGGATCTTGGAGCTCTAAGGTATTTTCTTGGCATGGAGATAGCCAGATCAAAGAAGGGCATATCAGTTTCCCAACGAAAGTACACCCTAGACTTACTAAAGGAGTCGGGGATGCTTGGGTGCAAACAAGTAGACAATCCTATGGATTCAAACTATAAAATTGGAATGAAAGAGGGAAGTGCTCCGGTTGACAAAGGACGTTATCAACGCCTTGTGGGAAAACTCATCTACTTATCTCACACTAGACCTGACATTGGATTCCCAGTTAGTGTGATTAGCCAATTCATGAATAATCCCACTGAAGAACATCTTGATGCAGTGTACCGGACTCTCAGATATCTCAAAATGATGCCAGGAAAGGGACTGTGTTTCAAAAAGGGGCATGATAAGAGCATTGAGATCTTCTCTGATGCAGATTGGGCAGGCTCCGTGACTGATCGAAGATCTACCTCAGGTTATTGTACTTATGTGTGGGGAAACTTGGTTACTTGGAGGAGTAAGAAACAATCAGTGGTAGCTAGAAGCAATGCTGAAGCTGAATTCAGAGCAATGGCACATGGTATTTGCAAAGGAATGTGGCTAAAAAGACTCCTAGAAGAACTAAAGATTCCCAATGAAGGCTCCATGAAGATGTCTTGTGATAATCAGGCCGCAATAAACATTGCAAAGAATCATGTTCATCATGACAGGACAAAACAAGTGGAAATCGACAGCCACTTCATCAAGGAGAAAATTGAAGGAGGAGTAATCAAGATAATTTATACTCCCACGAATTTGCAAACCGCAGACATTCTCAAAAAGGCTCTATCACGAGTCACTTTTGAGAATTTGACTTCCAAGCTGGGAATGATCGATATCTACTCACCAGCTTGACAGGGAGTGTGGAAATATGAAATTAAATGTCTCAATTAGCAAAACAGATTGTCAATCAGTTAGCTGATTGTTTGTATTTCCTTATTTGTAAATATTAGTTTATTTTTGCTGATTTCTAGGCCTAGAATCAAGGGTGATATCGGATTGTGATTTCCCCTTCTTTTCTATTTAATCTATGTACATTCACTATGGAAAATTAAGAAATAAGAAAAATAGAATAATTTTTCTCCTAAATTTCTTCAAAACCGGTTGAAGACTTCCCTCTCCTCAACATTCGAGATCAAGGACTTGGGATCTCTGAGATACTTTCTTGGCATGTTGGTGGCAAGATCAAAGAAAGGAATCGTTGTGTCCCAACGAAAATATGTTCTTGATCTCCTTAAGGAGACTAGGATGAGCGGTTGTAGGCTAGCAGACACTCCGATTGATCCCAATCAGAAGCTTGGATATGACAAAGAAGGTGATCCAATGAATACAGCTCGGTATCAAAAACTAGTGGGAAAATTGATTTATTTATCCCATACTCGACCAGATATTGGTTTTGCTGTGGGTTTGGTTAGTCAGTTTATGCACTCGCATTATGAGAAACATCTTGAAGCAGTTTATTGGATTCTTCAATACTTGAAAAGCACTCTAGGCAAAGGTTTGCTCTTCCAGAAGACCTCACAACAGAATATTGAGGCGTACACTGATGCAGATTGGGCAGGATCGGTTGTTGACAAGAGATCCACGTTAGGTTACTGCACTTATGTCTGGAGAAACCTGGTTACATGGAGAAGCAAGAAACAGAATGTAGTTGCAAGAAGCAGCGTGGATGCAGAATACAGGGCAATGGCTAATGGAGTTTGTGAGATGCTATGGGTGAAAAGAATTCTCGAAGAGCTGAAGATGCCAATAAACATGCCAATGAAGCTGCATTGTGACAGCAAAGCTGGCATCATCATTGCACGGAATCCAGTGTAACATGACCGTATGAAGCATGTGGAGATTGATAGACACTTTATAAAGGAGAAGATTGATTGTAGAGCTTTTGCATGCCTTATGTCCCTACTACGCAACAAATAGCTGATATTCTCACTAAAGGACTGTTCAACGGAGGGTGTCGGATTTGTAACAGTTAATTAGGCTATTATAGGATATTTTATTTTTGCAAATAAATCAGAAATAAATGAAGTTTCCATTCCTAGTTTATAGCAGACGATTTGCTGATTGTATGTGAGTTGTACACTGATTTTGTGTGAACTGTAATTGGTGATTCTGTGGGCATTCCTCTGCTATATATTCCTGTATTCGTTCTTTGTAATTTTAGAAAGTTTCATTATCATTTTCTTCCCTAAACCTGTAATATATATATATATATATATACACGTATATGAGTGTATAGTATATACGCAGGACACAACAATGGGCAACAAAGAATGGAAAAGGAAGAAGACTTGAATCAGCATAGATATCCAAATTTTAAAGATACCTAAAAACACTCACATCAAGAAAAAGGACAGAGGAGAAAAAAATTCAATCTCGTATCAGCAGCCACAAAAGAAACCATAGATGAATATAAATAAACAATTATGTACCTTCGACAAACTATTGGGGGGAATCCTTAGAAGATTGTTCTTTAATGCTTCGACATACACCGAAAGATCTTCAACACAGCTGTGATTAAAAAAAATTTATTCAAGACGGTAAAACAAATTTTATTGGCAGTTAAACTTTTTATGAGTTCAACTCAAACTGAATTTGGTGTCATTGAAATCCTATTAACGTACATGCTTAGAAAAGGGATAAACCTACCATAATCTTGCAACCCCTGTTGAGCATCCATCTCTTGCTGGTTTAACACAAACTGTTTCACACTTTAACTTTGAGGTCAAGTCATTCCATATATCTAGTAAAGGCACACCCAGGAGATCCTTCTTTTTCCGCACATCTTTTTTTATCGTAAAAACTCCAGAGTTAGCAAGCTGTTAATGGCAAGAGATTACCATGGTTTGTTATGCAACCAAATACAAAGATATAAATCGTTGTTTGCATATATACACCAGTGTAAAGAAACCAAGTACCATACATGGCTAAGAGAAAGGGATGTAGCAACTTTGTCCATACAAGTCTTTGATGCCATCACACCAGGACCTTCATTTGGGAAGAGAGGGGTCACGGAATGGAGAGAAATTACGTCATGAAGAATCAACATCAAGATTAGTCATAGCCAAGTTTTGTAGAGAACAGACCTGTATAAGGAACTCCTTCAGCCTGCAACAAAGACTGAAGTGTACCATCTTCACCAATGCCTCCGTGCACTAAAAAGGAAAACACCAATAAAATAATCATGAACATGGAACAATTCATTGTTTGACGTATCAAAAAGTTGGCATAAGACGAAAACATTCAGCAAACAAACCCTTAGTAATAGTATTATCTTAATGATAAACTGGAAAGCTGAATTCATGAATATTTAATGATGACTTCTAATTAGAGTCATCATTTCGAATTAGAGAGTGTGGAAATCAAGTTCCTAGTATCTTAATTCCTCCATAAATCAACCAACACAAGAATGTAGGAGTAGGAGGGAGAAGAAAAGCATTAGCAATCAAAATGTGCAAAACGCCACTGGTGCTAAACTAAGATCACATATAATGGATTCCTATATGAAATTCTAAACTACTGAACCCAAATTAAGCCCCCGTTTTGTTCGCTGGTTCGAATTTTGTTGATTTTAACTTTTTTGTTTGAACAGAAACATTTCAAACTATGTCGTTTAAATTGTAGTTCACATTGGCGTTTGGATGTGCAATTAAAGTTTTAATCCGAACAATGAATAAAATTCGAATTTGTGTTTGGTAGGTGTGAAAAGCAAAGAGAGTGGGCACCTTTTTACTGTTCAAAAATGGTTTAAATGATTAAATTTACAGGGAGGGCTAAACTCTAAGTTAGACAATTTAACTCTATTCAAACGGATAATATAATTCAGACAATGTGCTTACCAAATACGAGTTTAAACTGTGCTCACTATTCTAACTGAGTTGAACTGAGCTAAACGAGTGAAACAAACGGGGGCTAAATATTTGAAAGTGAGCCAATGATTATGCTCAACACTCCCGTTCACGTGCAATGCTCAATATAGTGACATACCGTGGGCTTAATCAGTTCCAACATGTGCATATGGAACAAGAGTCACGCATGATGAACTCAAATTACAATTTACATAGCGGAACATAGATCTTGTTACCCGACTGAGAAGGCAGTTGCAGGCATCCTAGACCAAGGCAACTTACTATGACACTCTGTTAAGAAATCATTAACACGAAAGCTTATGTTGTTAACATTTGGAAGGATTACTAACCCCAAAAAAAAAAATCCATGTGGACGAACTTTTGCTCTAATGAACCAGGGCGAGGTTATGTGAGCTGAAGAAAGGAAGAGGGCAAAGTAGCTAAGGGCAAGATAAGAATCGTTAAGGGCCCGTTTATTTCATATACTCAAACTCAAGTCATTGATTCTGCTACAGTGTTTTCCCTTCACAAAAAATTAAAATTTTGAATGTCAGAATCATGATTTGAATATACCTTCCAAACGGGCCCTAAATTCTTTCTTTACAAAAGGGTGAAGAGCCTTTATGGAAGGTCCCTACTCTACGGCTTATATGGTACTGAGCTCTAATGTGTCTTCAGCATCTTCCAACATGAAAAACCAACAGTCAAGAAAGTAAAGATTGAAAAATAGGACTTCAAAAAGAAAAGGCTACAGCTACATTGTGCATCTTGTTACATAGATCTATCAACACACATATATATAAAAAAAAAAAGATATTTTGTTTAGCTAAAAAGTGCGGGTGTTGTCACAATAGTTGCCACTTACATGTATTTAATTCTAAAAAGATAAGGAAATCTGTATACTCCTAAAAGGATTATTTACAATCTCCATTATTGTGTTTGATGCGTAGAGCAGGGTCCATATTTACTTTATGAAGCAATTCAAAATCGATAGTTTTTTTCTTTTTTTTTTTGCTCTGAAGATCAATTCAAACACCCAAAATAGCTGTAAAACGTACATACCAATGCATCATGCACGGCTAAGAACACGAAAAATAAAAATAACCTGCAATAAACACTGTAGCTTGAAGTTCCTTCGCTTGTTTGATCCACTGCTCCAACGAAAATCTCACGGGTGGGACATCATCAATATCAAACCCTTTAAACCAACTATTTGCCTTTAGACCTTCGATAAGGTCATTCATCACTTTGTTGCGTAAGTGAGATGTAAATGCAACCCGTGCTGGTTCAACGGCTTCGATGCATGCAGCAAGAACTTCTTCTGTTGTGTGTCTCAGAACAAGCGAATAACTGTACAAAAAAAAAGCATAATGTGTATTTAATAAATACATAGAGGAGATAATGTGGCGGCCTGTGATTGTATGTCCGAGTTAAGTCTGTTAATGCCCCATTATCAGCCTGAAGTATTTTATGTTGTGGCAAATCAGAGAATATTTTTCTGGTATTGAATACTGTCATTCATCAGTATGCATGGTTTTATACACAGATATGTTAGTAATTTAGGGCTAATCTTATCTTCACATATATAAAAAGCCAAAAAGGCTCTTCTACATCGCTTCTCCCTTAGGCCCGCCAAGTCTCGACCCCACCCTATTCCCCCTTTTTGTTTCTTGACTTTTTTTATATTTTTTTCATCTTTTAAATGTTTTGCTTTACCTATTTTATGAATGATTTGTACAATTTAATTTTCTTTACGTGTGTTTTTTAAAAATACATTCTTTCCACTTTACTCAGAACTTTCACCGATAGGGCCTCCTTGTCGGTAGGGCCATTAATTTTTTTGGATTGTTGGATCTAGTCAAAATTACATCAGATGAAAAAATATGCAGAATAAACAATTTTTAAAAAACTTTTTGGTCAAAATCACTTATTTTTACTCCACTTTACTCGTGTGAAAGTAATTTCTTACAGTTTAATTATTTGGAACTTTCGCCAGTAGGCCTCCCATTGGTAGGGCCCCTATGCCTTCATAGCAAGCTATGTGTTTTCTTCCCGTTCTTTTTATTTTTACTTTTGCTTTATTTTTTTTTCTTTAATCTTTTTTCTTTTCATTTATTACCTTATAACTTTTTTCCACATTTTCTGGTAATGTTATATTTTAGGATTTAATTACAAAAATTCCTCATGAATTATGCCCCTTGTAACACTTTGCCTCATAATCTTTAAAACGTAATATTTGTTCCTCATAAATAATGAAATATTAGCAAAAAAGCCCAATCTATTAAGTTTTTAACTAAAATTGACATTTAATTTGCTATTTTGAGAGTAGTTTAATAGTTCTAAAGTTTAAAATTTAATTAGAATTTAAACTAATTTAAATATTTACAAAAAAACTTCACAAATTTTTTTTACTCTACCAAAAAAGATTCATAAAATTTTTAACTTGCATTCAACCAATAAAGGATGTATCATAATAACAAGTTTAAATTTAAATTAATTTTAAATTCAAACTAAAATTTAAACCATAGAACTACTAAAATAGCCGAAAATAACAAATTAAATAATTTTTGTTAAAAAACCTGATGGGGTGAGCTTTTTTGTTAACATGTCATTGTTCAGTGGGAATAGACGTTACGTTTTAAAGATTACAGGGTAAAGTGTTACAAGAGGTATAGTTCAAGAGAAATTTTTATAATTAATCCTATATTTTAATATATATATATATATATATATATATTCCAATAAAATTATTTTTACATCATTACCTTACTTAAATGTTTGAATAAATAAATTCCTCACTAACTAATAAATAATATGCTATTTAGGTGATTTCAACACGGCAACACGTGCAGAGCACGTTTTAAAATTGGTTACAAAGAAAAAAGGGAAACTAAATCTCCTACGAAACAGGAAACTAAATCAGAGAGATTCCTAACTAAAATCCCATGATTCCAACAAAGTCAAAGATACACAACATCAATCAAAAAGATTAAGACAATCTGAAAATGAAGAGAATAAAATATCTGTGATTTCCAACACTCCCCCTCAAGCTCGTGAATATGCATCCTCCATTCCCAGCTTGGAGATAAGCCCTTGAAATGTTGCACTATTGAGTCCTTTTGTGAGCACATCTGTCAGCTGACCATTAGTCGAATTATATGGAGTACAAATAAGTCAACTATCCAACTTTTCCTTTATGAAATGTCTATATACTTCAACATGCTTTGTTATGTCGTGTTGAACAAGATCATGAGCAAAATTGATGGCCGACTTATTGTCACAAAATAACTTTATTGATCCTTCCCATTTGATCTGTAAATCGTCTAAGATTATCTTGATTTGTTGTAGCTCACACATTCCCAAGGTCATTGCTCTAAACTCTACCTCTGCACTTGATTTGGGCACTGCATTATGCTTCTTGCTTCTCCAGGTCACAAGATTACCTCCAAGAAAAGTGCAATAACTTAGGATAGATCTTCTATCAACAGGTGAGCCTGCATAGCCTGCATAGCCCGCATCAATCCAGTGCTCCTCCTGAACAAAATACCTTTGCCAGGTTATGCCTTTAAATAATACAATACCCGTAAATGAACTTCTCTTAGGCTATGCATAAACTGACTTACAACACTCACGGCATATGCAATGTCTGGTCTCTTGTGAGCCAAATATATGAGTTTCCCTACTAGTCTCTCGTACTTCTCGCTAACTATCGCCGATTCCTCGCTTCCCCAAGTTTGTGATTAGGATTGACTGGCGTAGATGTGGATAACCGTGTAATTAGGGCTGATTTGTACAGTTGTATTTTTCCTTATTTGATTAGTTTCCTGATTTCTCTCTAATTACTAGATAAGTAGTTATCAATGTTGTTATCTAGGGTGCTGAAAATAGGGGGCTAAACCGGGCTGTGGTTATCCCTAAACTTGTATATATATTTGGCTGTATAGTGTATTTTTCTAAGGTGAATAAGAATCATATTCCTCCTAAACTCTAATTCCGGCTCTAAGAAAACTTCATGGGGTTTAGGAGAAATATTTCAAGCCATAACCCTAGCTTCGGTTACCGTCATCAACCAAGAAAAACCCTAACCCATCACCCATCATATGGCGTCAGAAACTGGCAACACCTCAGGAGCCATGGTTGGTCAGGACTGTGTGAATGCTGGCCGGACAGAGGGCTCACTCCTTATCACACAGCACAAGTTGAATGGTCAAAATTATCTCCAATGGGCCAAGTCAGTGATGATGTTTATCTCAGGTAAAGGGAAGGACGATTACCTTACGGGTGTGGCTATTCCACCCAAACGGGAGAGAAACGGCATTTGGCACAATTAAAGACAAAAAACGAAAATGAAAACGATTTTTTGATTTAGTGTAAAATGAGAGAGAAATGAAAAACGAGTTTTAGTCATTTTTCATTTTTTGTTTCCGTTTTCTCCTCTCTCGAGCACAGAGAAAGAGAGAGACATTAATGAATTTTTTTATACTGAAAACAATCTCTTGATAAAACTACCAAACGCATTTTCAAAAATGATTTTTGTCTGAGATTGAAAACATTTTCATTTCCATTTTCATACAAAAAACAAAATTATTTTGGACGAGTTCCAAACGCACCCTAAATCACCCACAAAACAGGAAACTAAATCAGTGAGATTCCTAACTAAAATCCCAAGAGTCCAGCAAAGTCAAAGATACACAACATCAACCTAAAAGATTAAGACAATCTGAAAATTAAGAGTATAAAATATTCGCGATTTCCAACATATGCATCAGGAGTTGCTTTTACTATATGATAATTGATGGATGTACCTCGACATTAATCTACACAGAACTCAGAAGATGATCCAGCGCTCAATAAACCATGATAGTGATTGATATTGTGATGTAAGCATGCAGGTAGAAACAATGAAAAAATTGACTAGCTCATATGTTTCAAGAAATCAAAACTTTTCACCAAAAGTAATCAGGTTTACTGAAGTTAGCTACGAGGGAAAATGAAAATAACCTATTTTATATTCTACATGTTTCTTTTATTCTCCAGAATCCTTTATATAAAGTTGGATATGAAAAGGCAAGAAAAATAATGAAAAATAATATTTTTGAAAATAGCAGACATTTTGATCTTTAAATTACCTAGTCAAAAGATGTGATTCAAAATGCTGAGTGTTTTTCTTATCAATTGATCAAGAAAGAGAGACTTACGGTAATGACCAAACTGTCTTGGAGCTCACATCAACTTCCTCTTGGTTTGAATTTGTGCCAGACTCGTGTCCAAACGTAGGAGCAAGCAAACATGGAATTACTTCAAGCTAAAACCGCAAAAAGTAACCAAGGAACTAGTGAATTCTAAAAAGAATTAGACAGTTTTGTTTAGGAATGTTTTAAACTACGGAGGACAATGATAAAACCATCCAGAAGTTGCAGGAATGTGGGAAATGTACATGATTTATGTTTTAGAATTCAGGAATGTATACATTAAAACTCACAGAGACTCAAAGTTGGTGATTCTTAATCAGTTAGGAATTTCAAATATCAATTTAAGCTGAAATATATGTTGCACATCTGTTATAATCCTTGGGTAGAACTCATCCCCAAAAGCTAGCTTGTAGGGAGAGGGTGCCCAAGTGGTTATAAACCCACATGCTAAGCCCATATTTTAGCAATGTGGGACTCAACCAAGATCCTAACAAGATCCAAATCATAATGTTATGTGAATAGAAAGCTCTTGAACGTTAAACCATGAAACGTCTTATATTTTAATTAATGTTTTTGTTGCTGATGTTGATCACATCAACTCTACTACATGCTTATACTTACATCATCAAAAGCTTGCAAATTGAGCCAAACATTTGTGCCACTCATAAGAGATACTTGCCGCTCTGATGTGTCTCCTCCAAAAATGACAAAAACCTTCTGAACGCCTCCAAGTTTCGGAGCCACCTCACTAAGTGGGGAGGATGTCGATCTTTTCGGCAAATGACCTGATACACTACTTAAAGATGCAAGCTTGGGAACCCGTGAACAGGCACGGTAGATTATGCTCCAAAGAATGTTTGAATGAGAAAATCCAACCTGGATGGTTTTCAATTTCAGATAAGTGGCACAAAAAAATTGATGGAAAATATGAATCCTACAAGGATGAAAAATGAGGAAAGAGAAACTATTGGACAACTATCTAATTAGAATGCCATATGTTTCTGGTTGAGATTCAAAGCAAGAGTTAACAATTAAAGACCCTTTATTAGTCTTCCATATAAAAAAGTAAAGGACTAGAACTGTTATAGAAACATTCAGGAATCAGTTTGCATTGAAAGGCAGAATGAAACTAATTTGAAGTTATGATCTTTCAATGGAACAATCAACTAAACTTGGAGTACCTTGGAAGCTTGTTGAAATAAGAAGCTGGTCTGCTCCATTCCGCTAATCTGAAATACATGACAAAAATTATTTGGGAACATCAGGAAAAAAAGAAAGACAAAAAAAAAAAATCATGAATGTATAATCAAACACCAATCTTACCAGGTTGATGTCGGTAAATACTACTGTACCCAATTCAGTCTTCCCAAATCTATTTTCTGGCGACGATAACATGTGAAAAGAATCAGGCAAAAACCAACCATCAATTCGTGCAAAATCACGCAAACCAAGCTGTTGAAACAATAAAGATGCTCCCTCTCGAATAGTTTCAATAACATCTATGGGAAATTGAGGTGGAGTATGATAAGCGACCTGTTTGTTTTGCCAGACCCCAGGAATTAGAAAGATGTTGGGCAGTAAAACAAAATGGAATTCATTACAAAGTACATGGGTGAACACAGCATAAACATCTTGTGAACCTTTTGGTAATAGACCGGAGTAAATGATGCATGTAAATGTTCAGATGGCAACAACATACATACACATGTAGTTTGTGGATGTGCATGTAAAATCAGAAGACAAGATGAACTTCTGCTTTCTTTACCTGCTGTGTTGGGAGATATTTCCTTCGGTAATTGAAAATTGCATCCTTCTCTTTAACATCAACTCTATCATGGAATTGAAGCTCGACCTTCTCATTGAAAGATCGATTTTAGTTGGAAATATTAATTAGACAGAGTGATTGTGCATCAAGTACGATTATTCAATCATCCAAATCTTATACCAGAGACTGGTCAAATAGATTCTATAAACAAAATTACTGCAGCATTAACCAAAAAGGAATTGACTATGAAGCTAATTTTCAGGACCCTGAATAGCAGGAAACTTAGGTAAAGTATATCTTTCACTCTATGTTAAGTAAGTCTCAAAAGATACCGTACAAAAACACAATGCAGTTCCCCAGACATTTAAGAAGTAACAACCTGTCCAAAACTCAGGATAAAGTTTTTTACTAACCACCTGTTAACGTAATATTCATTTACTGATGAAGCTTCATGAAACTTTCACAAAGCCAAAAAAATAATTAGGTTCAAGAAACGCTTTAGTACTGCTATCAGTTTAATATATCTGTTAAAAGTTAGGTTCCTTTGTGCACTTGTTAATTTACTCAACATGTTTTTACTTGAAATAAAGTTGAGCAAATGAATGTACCTCAGTTGGCAGCAGTACAACAGGATGGCAATCTAAACCAGACCCCACATCAAGGACAATGGCCGTAAACTCACTCCCTCCTTCAAGAAATACTTCAACAAGGACTTTGTCATCGATTCCCTATCAAACGTAAAATCGTCGAGAATTTCATAAGAAAATGGTTATTTGGCCTTTAATTTTGCAATCACACTTTGATCACCTTCATAACAGGCACTCCTTTTCTTTTTGTTTTTGGTTTGTTCTTTTTTTTTTTTTCCTCTGGAATTCATTACAAGCACTCATTTTACAAAAAAAAAAAAAAAACAAAAAAAAAACAAAGGTCTAGAAAAGGGATCCCAACTCACTAATACTAACTAGCATGACATGCGAGTTGTTATTCTATTATTGGTAGGTGTTACAAAAAAATGAAAAATAACCACGTCAACTAATAATACAGATTGCATCAGTAAAAAAATGACAACTCACTGCCATGTGAGTTGGCATCAACAAGTGGGGATAATAGTCAAAATCTGTAGCACTACTCTTTGATTATAATCTACTAAAATTTTTGTCAAATACCTGAAAAGTGAAAGAATGAAAAATACCTCTGATACAATTGTGGTAGCCTTCTCAAGTGAATCAGCCACACCATATGCAACTTTAACGCCAATGCTAGAACCTGCTCTTGTTGGTTTTACCTGTAACAATATCATAAAGAATAACAGGTTAAATAGATATTTCTTAGAGTTCTGGATCAGTCAAAATAGTAAAAAGTGCCTCACCACAACTTTTCCTGAATTAGAGTCCAGCTGATTAATTGCAAACCACTTTGAAAGTTCAGATTCATTTTCTTCACCGCTCTGCATGGCAGTAAGGCAGAACAATAAGTCAATAAACATAGTGTCAGTTAGGTAGAGGTAGTGCCACAACCACCCGTCCCCATTCCAGCCGACCCATACATGGAAGATAAAGATGTACATATTTACATTATGACAGATCCAACTCAGTCGAGGAAGTACCTGAACTAGATAACTAGGTACTGTGACAAATCCTCGTCTGCTGAGCTCCAATGAGGCATTATACTGCCAACAAGTTCGAAAACAAAAATGGTTAATAGTTATTCTCATCGTAAGATAATCAAGTATGACACAAGTAATCGTAGGTTCCAGTAAAGACATTTCTTGTACTAATCTCACAACATTGTGGCACATCTTGTTATGTCAATTATCGTATAACAATCAATTACTATAGGTTTAGGGAAGAAAAAAGGTAATATTTCTCCTTGAATTTCAAAGAACAAGTACAGGAATAAATAGGAGAGGAAAGCCCACAAAATCAGCAATTACAGCTCACACACAATCAACAAATCCTCTGCTATAAACTAGGAATAGAAACTACATTTATTTCTAATTTATTTGCAAAAATAAAATATCCTATAATAGCCTAATTCACTCCTACAAATACCACCCCCGCCCAATTTGGTGCGTGGATATCAATCATGCCCAACTTGCTTACAAGAAATTAAAAATTAGGCGTGAATAGTTCTTTAATCAGAATATCAGCATTTGTTGCGTAGTAGGGACAAAAGGCATGCAAATAGCTCCACAATCAATCTTCTCTTTTATTAAGTGTCTGTCAATCTCCACATGCTTCGTGCGGTCATGTTGCACTGGAGTCTGTGGAATACTGATGGCGGCTTTGTTGTCACAATACAGCTTCATTGGCATATTTATTGGTATCTTCAGCTCTTTGAGAATTCTTTTCACTCATAGCATCTCACAAACTCCGTTAGCCATTGCCCTGTATTCTACATCGCCCTATATTCTGCCTCCGCGCTGCTTCTTGTAATAACATTCTGTTTCTTGCTTCTCCATGTAACCAAGTTTCCCAAACATAAATGCAATAACTTGATGTGGATCTCCTGTCAACAACCTCCTGCCCAATCTTCATCAATGTACACCTCATTATTCTGTTGTCAGGTCTTTTGGAAGAGCAAACCTTTGCCTAGAGTGCTTTTCAAGTATCGAAGAATCCGATAAACTGCTTCAAGATGTTTCTCATAAGACGAGTGCATAAACTGACTTACCAAACTCACAGCAAGAGTAGTATTTGGTCGAGTATGGCATAAATAAATCAATTTTCCCACCAATTTTTTATACTGAGTTGTATTCACTAGATCACCTTCTTTGTCATCTCCAAGCTTTTGATTAGGATCAATCGGAGTGTCTGGCCTACAACTACTCATCCCAGTCTCCTTAAGGAGATCAAGAAAATATTTTTGTTGGGACACAACGATTTCTTTGATCTCGCCACCTCCATGCCAAGAAAGTATCTCAGAGATCCCAAGTCCTTGATCTCAAATGTTGAGGAGAGAGAAGTCTTCAACCGGTTTATCTCAAATACATCATCTCCAGTGAGAATTATATCATCCACATACACAATTAGCACATCTATCTTTTCATCATGTGAATGTCTGATAAACATAGTATCATCAGTTTGACCTTAAGTGTACCCTTGACTTTTAACAAACTAAGTAAATATCTCAAACCTTGCCTTCAGTGACTGTTTCAACCCATATAAAGATTTCTTCAGTCTACACACCTTTGTCCCAAACTTTTCGTCAAATCCTGGGGTGCATCCATGTACGCTTCTCCCTCTAAGTCCCTATTGAGAATGGCATTCTTTACGTCCAACTGTTGTAGAGGCCGATCACAATTAGCAACAAGAGATAAGAGAACTCTTACGGTATTCAGCTTTGCAACTGGAGCGAATGTTTCTTGGTAGTCAATGCCAAGGTTTGAGTGAATCCTTTAGTAACCAGACATGCTTTGTAACGTTCTAGTGAACCATGACTTATATTTGAGAGTGAACACCCATTTGCACCCTACAATTGTTTTTCCTCCCAGCAAATCTACAAACTCCCATGTGTTGTTCTTCTCAAGAGCTTTCATCTCCTCGAAGATAGCCTCCTTCCACTCGGAAACTTTTAGAGCATCCTGCACACTATTAGGAATCTCCAAACAAGATAATTGAGAGGTAAAGGCATGAAAAACAAGTGAGATTTTTATATGACATGTAATGGGATAAAGGATGTTAGGTGCATGACCGCACACCTTTTCGGTGTGCAATTGGAAGGGTTAAATCATTCGACTCAGAATTGGGACTTGGCTCAGTTTCTGGACTACGAGACTTAGAACTTGAAGATAAAGTAGGTTGAACGTTTTGTAAAGACTCGATAAGGACATTACCTGGAGGGTTTACGAATTCTAAGCAATGTAAGGGATTGGAGGACCCATTCTTTTGAGTTGTCTGTTGTCTTGAATAAACAATGTCAAAAGGTTTTAACCCTATAGTTCCTTTGTTAAGAGTTGTGGAGTCATGAACATCATGAGATGCCACAGTAGGACCTGCATTTTCAGTGTCTTAAACACTCTGCCCACTTTCTTCACTTTCTCCTGGTATAACAATACTCGACCCACTTTCTTCTCGTATAACAACATCTGGGTTTTCTGGTTGAATGGTCAAAGTGGGGAGAGGATTATATTCTTCGGTTTGGAAAACATCAAGGAAAGCCGAAGCTTGGATTTGGTTCCCCCCTGAAGATAAGGCATGAAGTACGAGTGTAATTCAAAAAAGGTAACAGCCATGGTAACAAACATTTTTTTTTTCGAAATAGGTTCAAAACATTTATACCCCTTTTGAGTAGGAGCATAACCAACTGTAACACCCTGAAGAATTAATTTAGATTAATTAAGGTAATTGAGATTATTAGTGTGCCTAATCTGGATTATTAATTGAGTATTAATTAATAAATGTTTCTAACACGTGTGAGTTTAATTAGTTCCAAGGTATTTAAATTATTCTCAGTAATTTATTTTAACCCAGAAGTGTGTATGGGTGCATTTCTGGACTGCTCTTTTAAAATATTGTACACATGTCATTTTCTTTTCTTTTTCCTTTTCTTTTCTTTTCCTTTTCTTTTCTTTTCTCCCTTTCTTTTTCCTTCCCGTGCATCTCTCCCTCTCACTCTCCCGTGCATCTCTCTTTCTCTCTCTCTCTCTCTCTCTCTCTCTCATTTTTGTCCCAAATCAAACGGATCTTGAACCAAGGAAAGATTTAAAGAAGTTTTCAACGTCAAGAGAAGGATTCGAGGTAAGATTACTGAAAGAACCTCTCTTGAATCTCAAGTTTTTGAATTTCAAAACTTATTTTTGGTTCAGACCGGATTTTGATAGTTTTTTAGTAAAACTAGAGTAGAAATTGGAGATCTTGGGTTCTTTGGACTTGTTTTAGGACCTAGAACTCAGATCTAGTGGTTTTCCTTTGAAATATTTCGATTTGGGACTGGATTTGCAGGGTTTTGGACTGATTTCCGCGAACTTCTCTCACTCAGCTGATTCCACCGGTCGACCTGTGCGGTCGACCGGATCACATGGAAACCGGTCG